ACACACACACACACACACACACACACACATACTTGCACATATCCAAGCACTAATTATTAATAAGAAAAAAAACTGTAAACAGAGAGAGATGAGAGGACGCTTTGCGCGTTCACGCTGTTTCCATAGTGACAGAAATGTTGCTAAACTAACGAGGACGACAAACTCAGGAAAAGAGAATAAATTTAATAGTTATGACGTAAAGTTTAACTTACTTCAGCAGCAAGTGTAAATATATTTACATACAGCAGRTTTAACTTAACTCTAAACCCACAGAAAAAAGCGATGTTTGATGAATGTTTGCTCTGGTTAAAACACAAACTTACCGGTAACCCTCCTCTCAGTTTAAATAGCAAGAACTGGTGCCACTCCAAAGAACAAAACTTTTTCGGCCAAAACTGAAACACCCTTACGGCTGAAACTTGTGTAAAAAAAAAAAAAAAAAAAGTAGGAGGTTTTCGAGCAGGCTGCAAGCTAACTAGCCAGAAGATGGCAGGTGCACGAGCTTCAGTGAGTTCTTCAAAGCGCGCGACCGATCAGCGGTGACGCGCCTCAAGGCTGGAGAAGAAAGAAAACCTAAAAACTTTAGCTTCAATGCTTTGAACTAGCGAATGTGTGAYTAAAAATTGACCACGGTTCTGTGAAACAAAGCCATCTGGTAGGAAATGCGGTAAAATTTTTATTTTATATATATATTTTTTGTATTGTAAGTGTGAAATTCAGGAGTAGCCAACAGGTAACRGCAGTGCCACTGATGATGATGGGTTGTTACTGTAGGTTAGGTTAGCTAGCTTATTCTGTGTGTGGAAAAAAACAACAAATTTTAATAAATTCATTTAAGACCAGCTTCATAAAGTAGTATGAACACACACAATTGTGTAGCTCTGATAGCAAAACCAAATCCTGCTTATTGTAATAAACTGAGTAGGTTCAGATTTTTGGTACATATCTATTTAGGCTAATAAGTCTAATAAATATAAATACAATTAATTTAAAGGACTTAATCAAAAGTATTAGAAGTCCAGAATAGAAATATATGTGCATTGCACACCTTGCAGACCATGGAAACTTGTTTCAAAATAAGAACAGACAAGTTTGCAGTACTCAGCTACACACTATGTACAAAAGCACACAATACACTTTGATATTTCTCCTAAATAAGCTCCTTATGGGAATTTAACAAGYTTAACAGGGTCCTGTTTAGGAGCTGAAAACACACCACACTGGAGGCAGTGGTAGAGGTCGAGGCTTTTATTTTGACAGGGCAGGAAATGTGTCATAGCCTGAAAAACATGGAGAAGGTCAGCAAGTTCACTGTGGAGCTCAGGTTCCAAACATGCAAAAGAGTCAGAGATGTGGTCTTGCATTTATTTGCTTTTGCAGGTGTACCTGRGGTGATGAGGACTCCAGGAGTATTTAGTTATTTTGGTTCAGAAGAGTCAGAGAGGAGTGTGTTGCTAAACTCATCTTGTATTCACAGGGGGAAGCTCACAGAGGCATTCGCTGGGGAAGACCTGCGTAAGTATTAACCAGGAGCATGAGGATCTTTAACCGAAGAGGGAACRCGGTCCCAGGTCCAATGGAAGAACTGCAGGAAACACCAAGATGACTATGAGGCTACACAGGTAAGAATGATAAATAATTTAAAAAGAGAGTTTTAACTAAATCTGTGCCGTTGTAACACGAGCGATCAGTGACGTTCAACACTCACACGAAGAATATTGTTTCAGCTCGGCCTTAAATACTCCCACATCAGGTGTAACAGGACACAGCCAGGTAGGTGCAGCGAGGGGAGCCGGCCTCGCCCAACTGATGCCTCTCAGACTCATCTTTAAAGGAGTGGACAGTGTTAAATCAACACTGAAAGAGTTMAATTTAACACTGTGTTCAAGTATATTTGGTCCTTATCTGAATTGGTGTCAATTTAACTCTTCACATAGTGTKAAATTTTCAGAGTACAATTTAACTCTAAACAGAGTTAAAAGTTAACACTGACTAACACTGTACAGTGTTAATAAAACTTAACACTGTACAGTGTTAATAAAACTTAACACTTCAAGTCAAATAACTGATGAGAGAAATTATGATTCTAAGCAGATTTAATGAGGTACTCCACTGTGGTGACAAATCAACTCTGATTCTCATGCTTTTCAACACTGCATTGAGTTATTGATGGTTAACACTGGAGGCTCATATACCTCCTACAAGTGTTAATTTGACACTACTCTCTTGCTGTGTTGAGGGGTGTAAAACGGACACTATGAGGTGTCATTACACAGCACATTTGAAAGTGTAAGTTTAACACTTCAGTGTTAAGATCAACTCTTTTAGTGTTGCATTAACATTACACAGTAGTTCCTGGATAAGTGTAATGGAGTCGACCTTCACACACCAGGAAGTAGCTCTCCCTCATGGTGTCGATTTATAGCCAATAACACAAACTTAAACTTGATCAACTGATAAACCTGAACAAAACAACAAATTTTTACTCTCATGAACTTCTTTAATAGTCATAAACATGCAAACACATMATTTCTACAAGATTACCCAGCATCCCTTGCTGTTAAAATACTGGTCTGTCTGACATGAGGTGGAAGAGGGCGGGGCTTTTCAGAATACGTCTTTCAACACTGCATGGCGTTAAATAACAGCACTGTTAAGTGTTAAATAACACTTTAACCATGGGTGGAGCTTATTTAACACTGTCCAGTGTTGAGACAGCACTGAGGAAATCAACACTGTGAATTAACATCAACACTAGATGTCTGTTTACTCAGCAAGTGTTAAAATAACACTAGGGGGAGTTAAATTGACTCTGAAAAGTTTACGGTAACTCTGACATTTTAACACTGGTTTTTGTTGAAACTTTGCACAAAGCTGACACGGCAAAATTTAAGTTATAGACGTGTTTATTAAACTATAACTGCTTTATAAATTTCACAAATCAATTTAATAGCATAATTAAATTAGGAGAAAATAGTCAGTTGCTTCTAGAAATCTGCAAGAACAAAAAAATTGAATTTTAGATCAAAAGATTCTGCAAAAGAAATAATTTTATATTAAAAATAACTACAAATTGGGGTTATTAAAGTAAAAAAGAAAAAGGTAAATATTCATTCTCAGTTGCGTGGGTTGAGTTTGACGTGGATTTGTTTTTGTTGCCGCCCAGATTTTCCCACCATTTTGCAGTTACACAAACTGTGGCGTTTTTTTAAAGGGGATTAGACCCAAAATGGCCGCAGACTTACGCCGTCATTGTCAGCTAGAGTTTCAGTCCACAGCAAGTTGATCTATGACGCAACATTTCTGTTCCGTTTGCACCGTTAATCGGTCCGTCCCCGGTTCTATCTGTCCGTTTTGACTCAATCGCGCTGTCCCCGTCTCCCTTCAAGCCTCACTTGCTGCAACTCAAGCGTCAACRCGAGGGAGAGGTTGCGATTGATATTCGCAGATGAATTTAGAGTTRAGGATGTTGCAGAAGTTCATCCTCTGAACCCACGCCTCGCTCTGTGTATCGTTTTGACCCGTCTGGGCTGTCCGCTCTTTCAAAACCAATCAGATCTGTCAGGATTTTCACATATCCACACATATTCTTTTTTTTGTTACAATCTAAAATGTACATCTGTACAATATTGTGGGTCTCTGGTTGGATTTAAATAGCCTTACATGCTTCAGTCTCTTGGATACAGTGAGTGTGATTGGTCCAGAGTGCACATTGGGCATGCCCAATCACAGGGCATCACCGTGGAGCTTACTAGCCAATGGGAGGAGGGAGATGGTCTGTGATTTCATTGTCACTAAGGGAGGAGGGGGATCCTGCCAGGACAGTTGGCACTAACATGCTAAGCAGTGAACTCTATTATGGTTTGAGTGTTTGAGAGAACCTGTGGAGCCAGATCAGGAGAGCGAAGCTGGTTTCGGCTTAAAGAGCCTCTCGACAGGAGCTCCCAAGCAGATGAGTTCCTGGTACTCCCACGTCACTGACACCGGTGCTGCTCACGTCACGGGACTGAATGGGTTGATGTGTGAGAACCCCTTGGCAACCGGCTCCGAGTCTGACCAGACGCTTAGACTGACAAAGCGTGTAAAGCTTTTAGGACACTCTTCAGATTGATATTCTGGTCCGAGTTTGACCCCTACAGAAGCGATTGTCTTTTTTTTTTTATATTCATCTGTTCTTCTGCTTAGACAGCTTTAGTAGCCAGCAGCCTCTTTTGCTTTTTTTGCCTCCTGGCCAGGTTGTCTTTGAAAATGTGAACACGTTTTCAACTGACTAATCTGGTTAAATAAAGGTCAAATAAAAAATAAAAAATCGAGTCAATCTACAATTAACAGAGAGGTTTTATCAGTCTAATTATTTCTTTGAAAATCTGACTCAATCCACACCAAGTGTACCGTACAACTGATGTGTCAGTTCTTTTTCAGTAGAGATATAGCTCACTGAAATGGAGTCAGATATGAGCTACATAATGTAATGCCTTTAAGATAGCTCTCTGTCATTTAACCAGAGGTCTATAAAATACTTGAAGAAAAATAAGTAAAAGTAAAAAACCTTAACAGAAAATAACTTTGGTAGAAATAAATTTCACTGATGAGAAACGTACTTAAGTAACAGTTAAAAAAAACTGTTCACAAAAATCAGGAAAGTAAACGTAAACATATTTTTACACACTCTCTAAGCTATGAACTGTTGAATTTATATAACCTCTTAACAGTCTTTGTTCCACGTGGGCAAAAACGGTGGAGTTTCTGCCTGTAAATGATTCTTTTATTTTGAAAACTAGGGTGTCAGAAAACATCCCTCAGTTCTTACCTTTAGTTTGACACCTTACCAAAAAAAAAAGTCTAAAGGCTTTTAAAGGAATTTCAGGGGTGACTGACTACTCTTCTAATGCACAAAATGGGTCAAAAACAACTGGCATTCATTTTCCAGGTTACTTCATGTACTGTTGAGGGTTTCTATGATATGCTTTTGAAATAGATCAATTTTATCATTTACTTTCCTCAAATATGCAGTAAATATCTTGTTTCTGTTTTGCACAAATCATCATTTTTGTTTTTACTTTCTTAAGTTATGAACAAGCACAGCTTTTGTAATTCCACATCAGGCCAAATGTGTCAGTTCAGCTAGTGAATGAAAGAACCACTCATCAATATWATCTGATGATTGTAGCTTAAAACCCTATTTATTTTTCTTTATTTAAAAAATACCCCCTTTTTTTCTTGTTATGCTTATGYACCTTGTGCACTGGCATGGATAGAGGCCCACTGACGTGAGTGTCCAGGGCCCAGACTTTGTTGCTACACCCCTGGTGACGGTTTAGGAGTTATTTTAAAGAAAATGTGTATATTGCCTCATATTTACTCTACTAGGTTCAGTGGAACTAGTTGACAAGCCTTAGTTAAGTAAATTCAACACGTCGTTTTTAGAGCGCATAAATAATACCGTTCATGATGAGTAATTGTA